AGTGAACAGCCACTGTGTCGACCACTGTGCGTGTTTATTTCACATGAGTCGTGTGCTATGTGCGGTGAAGTGATCCCATATGTGTCCTCGGCTCTGCTGCTGTTACACGTCAGTCTTACCGTCCATTCAACACAAAGCTAGCCGCATTAGCACATTAGCCATTTATAATGCATGTCAACGACAGCTTGTGTGTGCTGTTATTAAAATCAACGCGGTCTGAATATTCTCCTCGTGTGTGACACAGGAGCTTAAATCCTCGCATTGATTCCTGATAGTTGTGTTGGTAAATCAGGTCTTCGTGATTTAACAGCTGTCAAAATAAAGAGCACGATTAATGGTTTGGAGGTGATTATTAGTCTTGATGAGTGTTTATATCAGTTTTTTGCTGTCTGTCTGGGCTACAAGTAACTGTTGGTTTTATAATATAATTTAATCTGTTGATTACTTTTTCAATTAATAGATGACTATGAAATCCCCAAGAGCCATATGCAATCAGCTTAACCTCACCATCAAAGCACTCATGAGACAAATCCTCTCATTTTAGATGCTAGAACCAGAGATGATTGAATAACTATCAATATATGAGTCAACTCAACAGTACAGTTCATATGTGTGTCATTGTTTACTTTTGTAGATCACAGATTCCTCCAGTCACACTCTTTACTCCAAGGAAGATGCAACAAAAGGAAAGTTTGCGTTCACCACAGAGGACTATGACATGTTTGAGGTGTGCTTCGAGAGCAAGTCACCCATGGGTAAGTGTGTTAACCCCCAAAAGCAGGCAGCCCGCAGGCACAGCATTATAATTTATTGTGAGGAACGCTCACCGAAGGCAATGGCATTGTTTGTCACGGACACAAGAAGACGATTAGTTTGTGTTAATCTTTGGAACAAGAGCAAAGATCTGAGTGTTTATAATTAACATTGTGCTCCATGTTGTTTTTATAAATAAACACACAGTGACATTTAACCCTTTTAGTGGTATTTTTGTTGTTGTGATATAAACTAGATGGTTATGAAATTAGAGATGTGAATTTGTGAAAATGAAGGAATGATAAGAAGCTAATAATGATCCATTCAGAACAATGATAAATGAAGGTTTTTGCAATTATGGAACTAGACCAGGTCTATATAATTATGAGTCAACATCATTTAATTTGGTTAATTGCATATGATGGTAAAACTTTTTTTTTTAATCAGGGACTGGAAGAGTGCCTGACCAGCTGGTCAATCTGGACATGAAGCATGGTGTGGAGGCCAAAAACTATGAAGAGGTAAGTGTTAGCTCGCTTTTGTAGAATGATACCAATACTGCAGATAAAGAGCGCCTGCAGTTTGTAGAGTAGGTCAGTGGATGTAGATCACTGGTGTTGCAGCAGTGGTTTCACTACATATCTTCATTATTCCAGTTTGAAAAACTACAAAGGCACATGCTCGTTTTAGCTGATTGCCAGCAGCAGCAGGTGTTAGAGGGCCCCCAAATGTCCTATATACAACCCAAACCTTGAGTTGAAGTTCTCAGAATATGGTTCTGGACTGAATTGCTTGGTTAAATGTGCAGTACACTAATAGTCAAGATAAAGGCCCATTGTGAAACATTATAATGACGTCGAGGTGCCCCAGTATAGAAGAGGTTTATTTTACCTCCACATTATTCAAATTTTTTTTTTTTTTACATAGGCACACATCAGTGTACATCATCACTTCCATATCTTCGTAGTCCGTCTGAGAATGGATAGCGCTGTGGTTGCCTCAGGCAACACTTAAAAATAAGTGCAGAAGAGATAAAGCCCTGTGAGCTGAGAATCACCCCCCTGCCCACACATGCTGCAAGAACATGACGTTCTGTTCTGCTGCGGGATTGCGGAGGTGATTGTTCAGGGAGAGCTCAAGTGGGCATGCCTATCTGTGGGAAGGAGGGTGGAGCTGAAATTACACATGTATTCACCTACGTAGATGGGTGTGTTACTTCAGAACAAATTTGCAAGTAGTTCAGATGATGTCTTGGTATTTGGTTAATGTTCTGGAAGGATTTCCTGTCTGTTACACAATGTTCGAGAATGTTTACTTGGCAGATGTAAACCGCATGATCCAGTTTGTCTTTGTTCTCTGCTTATTTGAATCCATTTGCATGTTGCATATCTGGCAGATTTTACTTTTTGAGTCCCTAATGGGAAAACGTCCATGTCGGAGCCTGCTGCACAGTTTAAGGTTTGGTTCATTTATTCCACACCAAAAAGAAAGACAGAGGCATTGTTTCTGTTTAGTTTTGTCCCTTTAGACGACATACAGACTGCAGACATTGACAGTTATAAACATACGCCACATGGACTGACAGGTAATCTATTCATTGGGCAGTTTTAGTGACCTCTCCTCCATAATCGACAATCAACAGCAAGTCGTACTCAAAGAGCACAGGCAGAAATAGTTGTAATAATAATCATTATTGGCTCAGACTGCATCTTGCATTGTAAATTAAAAAAAAAAGACTTATCCTGCGCCACCGCACAGGAGGAAATGGTTGCCATAATCATCAGAGAAATCTTGTAAATTAGTTCTCTTTAGCAGTTAAATTTGTACACGTCACACATTCATATTACATATTCCTGTGATTGGTCCATTTTGTGTTTTCACCACAAACCAACCGAACCAGAGTTCGTTAAAGACACACCTTCTAAGGCGGTGCAGCTGTTTGCTTCACATGGCAGTTTTCTCACCTGCCTACAAGAGTAAATGAGCAAACACCATTTATTTAACTGGGTGTGCGCCCAGCCTAAGAGTGACACCTGCTGGACAAAGGTTATAATGACACTGTTCAAAGAGTAGTTCTAAGTTTGTTTGTTTTTCTACCATTGGCTTCTCAGGCATCAAGTTTCTGTGGTTGTAGCAGCTTCTGTTTTGTCCCTGCAGATTGCCAAGGTGGAGAAGCTGAAGCCTCTCGAGGTCGAGCTGAGGCGACTGGAGGACTTGTCAGAATCTATCGTAAATGACTTTGCTTACATGAAGAAGAGAGAGGAGGAGATGCGGGACACCAATGGTAAGAAAACTGCAATTAGTCATTTGCTGAAACGGCACACAAATGATCACAGGGAAAGGACAATTGATTAGTCCGTAAGTGGTAAACCTCAGTGAATGTACACGCTTGACAAGCCCAGCAGACACTGCTTAATAAGGTCAGAGTGTGGATTTGAACCCTGAACCCTGCAAAATGTCTGCCTTACTGGTTTCTGTTTGACATCCTGTTTGAGGGGGGGTTCATGACGCCTAATTAATTGCCTGAACAAACAACAAACAGGCTTTTAGATGAATTTTTGGCTGTCTCACAGTTTGAGCAGTTGCAGGATCCATTTTCCCCACATGGCTACTGTCAAAATATCTCTTACAGACTGTAGTGAGCTTGTTATTACTTGAGTAGTATTTGACATGTGTGATGTGAATCATTGTCTCAAATTGTTCTTATTTTAAATAATGAATATAAATGTTTCCATTATCCTTTTTAGTCACTGGTTGAGTTGCAGTTTCGTGTTTATTTCTAGCAGTTGGATCAATTTGCAGTCAAAAATACATCAGCGCTAATGCCAACCATACTTTACATTCATAGCCGTAGTGCACGGTAATCCTGCCTTTCTCTTGTTTTTTCAACTTTGTTGAGGACACAGTGTTCCTTGTTGTGTTTATTGGATTTGTGAATGGACAAAATGGCAATTCTGGCTGTGCAGAAAGGCCAATTTAAAACATGTAGTGACTCAATGTACAAGATTAGCTACATGAGTGTCAGGTTTTAATTAAAGGCCTAGTGTGTAACATTTAGAATGTGTAGGCAAAAATTGGATATAATCATAGTTATGTTTTCATTAGTCTATAATCACCTGAAAATAAGAATCATTTTATTTTTTTGTTACCTCAGAATGAATGTTTTTATCCAGAGAAGGTCCTCTTTCACAGACACTGCCATGTTAAGCCACCATGTTTCTACAGTAGCCCCGAACAGACAATCCAAACACTGACTCTAGATAGGACCTTTGGCGTTTTCCGCTGCCACTGTTGTTTCTCATATGTGCTTGAAGAGTAAAGTTGTCTCTTTTTTTTTGTTGGTTAATTAATTGTTTAAAAGAAGTCACTGACTACCCCTCTGCTTTTTCATCACTCTCCAGAGTCCACCAACACACGTGTGCTGTACTTCAGCATATTCTCCATGTGCTGTCTCATTGGGCTGGCTACATGGCAGGTCTTCTACTTGCGGCGCTTCTTCAAGGCAAAGAAGCTGATCGAGTAGAGCGGCCCCTAGCTCCTGACCTCGGGGGAAGCTGCCTGCCAGTCAGCCAACACATCCCAACATCCACCCTCTTTGGACTAGCTTCAGCAAACAACAGCAAGTGGGGTTGAGGGGCTCAAATTCTAGTTTTCACAGCTGTAAGAGAAAAAGTACCAAGGTTGTCCTCTGAAAAACGATTCACCTGC